GGTGCAAATTGGTTTGAGAGAGAAGTTTATGATATGTTTGGCGTGATTTTTACCGGTCATCCAGATTTGAGAAGAATCTTAACGGACTATGGGTTCGAAGGGCATCCTATGCGAAAAGATTTCCCACTAACCGGTTATGTTGAAATACGGTATGATGAAGAAAGAAAGCGCGTCGTTGCAGAACCTTTAGAATTGACACAGGCCTTTAGAAATTTTGAAGGAGCGGCATCACCGTGGGAACAAACTGGTATGCCATTTATTGACATAGTTTCTGCATTTATAATTAATTTGATTAATTTGATTTATTTTATTCATTAATTAGGTCCCGGGAATGATTTAAGGCCAGATTCTTTCAAACTTGAGAATCTTCTTCCAAAACCACAATCTCCAGAAAAGAAATAATAAAGTTACATGACAATGCAAAATTGGTTTTGTTCACGATTGAGACGTGTCTATATTAAAGTAAGTGTTGGGCACGGTACTATAAATCATAATTCCAGGCGATGTTGTACACGAGTCAGTTGGGATATTGTAAAGATACTAATACCGTATAAGCGCGAAATAACGCCCATGGGCATCATTTTGAAAATCGGAACCTTCAAAAATAGCCCATTCAGCTTCGAATTAACGCCCATGTGCGTCCCGAATTAACGCACATCCCCTTATAAAAAATAAAAAAGTAAAACGTACACCGGAACTGGATCTGGTACTAGTAAACCTTTCTTTGTACTCTAACAAAAGTTGTCTCAAAAACGGCCCAATAGATCGTCCGCAAATGTAAACAAACATTTTAATTTCGAAGAATCATTGCAGCTGTTTTTGATAGTTTTACCACCGTTAGTCTGAAGAACAACTTTTGTTAAAGAAAAAGGAAGGTTTACTTGGTACCGAATCTAATTCTGGTGCATTTTTTATTTCTTACTAATTATTATAGGACATGGTGAAACCCACTTTTTTAGGTTACTTTCTTGACATAGATCTATTTTTAATTAGGGTTAGATGTCATTTAGGTAATGATATGCATCAATAACGTAACCACCTCTGATGCGGGTTTCACCCTGCTGTTGTATTATTATTAAGAGGTGATCATTTAACCTATATTTTGAAATAACACACATGCGTGTACTTGAAATACTGTAATGCACAGGTCAATTAATTAATGCATACATGGGTGTTATTTCGCGCTTATACGATAGCTTAAAATTAAATATGGTATGTAACATAGTTATGGCATTAAAAATTAGCAGTTTTGTGATGATTTGCGCTAAGTTTCATTGGTCAAAAATAAACTGCAGATTGTTAATGCACTTTTTGTTTTGATGTTAGGATTAAAAGAAATGAATTTTTTGATAGAATGTAAAGGGTAGTTTTGTACTGTATAATTCTGAAATAATGTTTATCTGCATGTTATTTTGAATATGCCTATGTGCATTATTTCAAAATATAGAGAACTGCTATTTGCATTATGGTTTTTGTTATTTACACTATAGTTTATATTGATATAGATTATTATATAGGGTTGAGTCAATAGAAATCAAGCAAATATTTTTTAATAAGTTTTTTTAAAACTTTAAACAAGGATAATTTAACAAAAATTTAATCAAATTTAGCAAAAACTTTTTTAAATTAATTCTACAAATTTGTAAATATTATTTAAAAAATTTTGATTAAATCTGGTTAAGTTTTTGTTAAGTTATTCTTGTTTAAAGTTATAAAAAATCTTTATTATAAAAAATTTGCTTGATTTCTATTAACTTACTTCTATATATTATTTTAATTTTTTTTAAATTTAAATTAGATATTTTTGTATTTATAAAATTTTTTGATTTGAATTTTACAAAATATAAATTTTAAATAAAAAAATTAAGATATTTTTTGATTTTTTTTTTTTTTTTTTTTTTTTCGGCATGTCCTGCCACTGTTTTATTAAGATGGTAACCAAATAAAATTACAAGAATTTAACTATAGCTAATCCTTCTTTTAACCGCAACAAGTGACTCACTCGGCTAAAGCCCAGGTGCGACATGGCCTAGTGGTT